CGGTGGCACAGAAGATGATCGAGATGTTCGTCAGGACCAAACACAAAATCGACAAAAGCCACGAGTTCGCCCTGGTGGTGGTGAACAACGACAGCACCTGGGTGGGGACGGGGACAGGAGGGGACAGCGTGGGGACACGGGGACAGGAGGGGACAGGAGGGGACATGGGGACAGGAGGGGACAGTGTGGGGACAGCGTGGGGACACGGGGACAGGAGGGGACAGCGTGGGGACACGGGGACAGGAGGGGACAGCGTGGGGACACGGGGACAGGAGGGGACACGGGGCAGGAGAGGACAGGGATGGGGATGGGACAGGGACAGGGGTGGGGACAAGGAGGGACACGGGGATGGGGACAGGGACAGGGTGGGACACTGGCGGGACAGGGATGGGGACAAGGGACAGGGTTGGGGACAAAGAGGGACACGGGACAGGAGGGGACAGGGATGGGCACAGGGGTGGGGATGGGGACAGGGACAGGAGGGGGACAGGGATGGCGCCGGTGCCAGCGCGGTGCCCCCGCAGCTCTCGGGGTTCACGTCGGACCCGCGCGAGGTTTGCAGCTGCCTCTACGACCTGGACACCGTCGTGTGCCAGTCCTTCAGTATCCACCGTGCCACCCGGGGGCATCGGGGTGTCCCGGGGGTGCCAGGGTGTCCCGGGGTTCCTTGGGTGCCACCAGGGTGTCCTGGGTGCCACGGTGGCCCTGGGGGTGGCACAGGGGTGTCACGGGGGTGTCACAGGTGCCAGGGTGGCATGGGGTGGCACAGGGGTGTCACAGGTGCCAGGGTGGCCCTGGGGGTGGCACGGGGGTGGCCCAGGGCTGTCACGGGTGCCCGGGTGGCCCTGGGGGTGGCCCTGGGGGTGGCCCAGGGGTGTCACAGGTCCCAGGGTGACCCTGGGGGTGGCCCGGGGGTGTCATGGGGGTGTCACAGGTGCCAGGGTGACCCTGGGGGTGGCACGGGGGTGGCCCAGGGCTGTCACGGGTGCCAGGACCAGCCTTGACCCCCTGCTCAGATCTGGACGGGCTCTTCAACCTCATGTGAGCACTGGGGGGGTTCCGGAATGTTCCGGGGGTGGCGGGGGGGGCTGGAGGTGCCAGGGGAGGGTGGCACCTGAGCCCCGGCCCCGCGGGCGCCACCCCGACCCTGTGGCTGTCCCCTGGGTGCCCGGCAGCCAGCAGAAGGTGGAGCTGCCGGTGACCGAGAGCGTCCCGACCATCCCGCCGCCCTTCGTGCTCAGAACCATCCTGGTGCTGGGGCGCTGCCAGCCCCCCTTCTGCGGGGCCGAGCAGGCCAAGGTGGGCACCCCGAAGCGCCCGTGCCACCCTGAACCCCCCGAAATTCCTCATTCCCAAAATCCCCCATTTCCAGCCCAAAATCCCCCATTTCCAGCCCAAAATTCCTCATTTCCAGCCCAAAATCCCCCATTTCCAGCCCAAAATTCCTCATTTCCACCCCAAAATCCCCCATTTCCAGCCCAAAATCCCCCATTTCCACCCCAAAATTCTTCATTCCCCAAATCCCCCATTTCCACCCCAAAATTTCTCATTTCCACCCCAAAATTCCTCATTTCCACCCCAAAATCCCCCATTTCCACCCCAAAATCCCCCATTTCCACCCCAAAATCCCCCATTTCCAGCCCAAAATCCCCATTTCCAGCCCTAAATCCCCCATTTCCAGCCCATAATTCCTCATT